GGGAAGAAAAGCGACTGTCTCTCACCTGGCTTGGGAAAGCCTTGGGATCTCCCCGAAGAACTGGAGGAAGTGTCAAAGTGTCAGGGAAGCCTGGGCATCTCTGCTTTGACTTTTTTACTGCCTCCGTGACCCAAATGGAATTACAAATTAGTGCAGTGAAGTGGGTGGTGACAGGGGGAGGTGAAAAGTTAATGACAGAAGACTGACAGCATTTTTAAATGATCATATGGCCAAAATGTTATCTCTTATATGTGAGGAATACAATTACAGCTATTACTGGTCAAAGCTGCTCCATTCTGTTTCTGCTCAGTTGTGTTTCTGCTAATATTCCAGGGTGCCCGTGTATTAGTATTAGTGCAGCATGTGGTGTGGCTGCACTAAATGTGTGCATGCCCAGCGTAAACAGCTACATGCTAAAGTTTGATTTTGGGGCTGTTTGTCATGCAGGAAGAGCTGTGTGCGGTGACCGCCTGAGAATACAAACAGACTGAAGCCTGTATCTCCACACAGCTGCATACATTACACTGCAGTAATCTCCTCTTTGTTTGGCACTTGTCCTGTACAAGTTTGCTCTTTTGATTTGTGTCGAGTGAGAAGGATTCAGCGAGCAAAATGCTATTCAGTGTTGTAATAGCAAAGTACAATCGCTACTTCTGCATGATGTACATGAGAGAAAAAATGTTGTAGTAATGTTATATACTATAAGATGCCGTTGCCAATAAATTAGTGATGTCAGAATGATGGTTGCAATTTTATTTTATTTATTTGTGTTTATTTAATTTTATTTAATTTATTACACTCAACTTTCCTAACAAGCAGGTTCTCCATCATCTGTTCAGTGGTGTAATTACTATCACTATTTAGAATTCATTTAACAACAGATGTTTATATAGCTAAAATTATCTTGAACATCTTACTTTCAGAATAGGTATTGAAATAGAACTTTTTTTGTTTTTTAATAATAATTTTAGTACTAGTTTTGCTTGTGGTAGACAAAAGAAAAACACCGGACAAGGAAACCGATTAGCATGTACGTTAGCATATTGTAGTTATGCTGCATTGTGTGTTGCTCAGGACTCGGGGAAAACTGACCTTCACCTCGAGAAAGTGTAATGGAATGGCAAATCAAATCGGGGTTCCAAAACACAAACTCGGATTAGTTCGGAGCAGACAGAGTCGGATGGATTTTTGAACATGTAATAGTCAAACTGCCATAATTGAGTTGCCAACAGCTAATGTTAGCTAACAGACTCTATTTATTAGCAGGAGTTAGCGATACCTGACGTTAACTACATAAGCTAACAAAATAAACATAAAACTTTCTTGTGCATCCATATTTTCCTGACTGTTGCAGTGGAACACATTTACAACAGATGTCGGGAGAACTGACTCAGATTTACCAACTACCGACATTCTATAGAACGCAGCATTACCTCCTCAAATCTGGGCAGAACACTCATTGGGTGAATTATATACTCAATGTCGTCTGTTCCACAAAAATACCTCAGCAAACTCTGCTGTGCTCCTCCAGCTGTGCAGCCCTCCTCACTGAAGCAGACACTAATTGGGAGCAGTAGTTTTGGTTGTCTCCGCATGCTTCTCACATCTATGGCACTGCACGACTGAGTGTCTGATTGATGAACTGTTTTTTGGAGGGTTTTGCCCACTGTGCCGTGTTTCCCGACCCTCGCCTGACAAATGACAGGGTCGGCAGGTGCCACGCTGAGAGGGATATAGAGCGTGGAGCAGTGTGTATTCTCATTCACACCGGAGACTGATGGCTTAATGGACCCGATGAGGTGGTCACGCTGGAGGCGATGTGAGCGCTGCAGAGAGTGGACACATGAGGTAATGGTCTGACTGTCTGGTTTGGGATAAGTACAACAGGCTCTGCGCTGTGTTGTTGTGAGGAGACAATAAACCAATCCACATGCAATTACGTAGTTTTAGACCAGTTGGTAATGACTTAATTAGAAGTTTCATTGCCAAGCAGTGAACAATATCCACAAAGTATAGAAATCTACTTCAGTGATATGGTAAAACAATGAATGCAGTGGTCCCTCGTTTATCGTGGGGGTTACATTATAAAATTAACCCGAGATAGGTGAAATCTGCGAAGTAGTCAAGTTTATATTTTACAATTATTATATCTGTTTTAAGGCTGTAAAACCCCTCAGCACACACTTTTTACACTTTTCTCACACAGGACTCTTAACCCTTTTTGCATTCTTACTAAAACGTATTGCTGCTGTCATCCTTTTGTTATTTTCCTCCTTCTTTATGTAACGAACCAAAGATTCATTATTCCGTAATGGAGCCCTACAGCGCAGAGTCCTGCACGGGTCCATTTTTGGAGACCCACACCCACGCAGTACAGCACCGCACCTGCACAGCACTGCACCCGTCTGTTAACCTGAGATTATATCAAACTTTTGTGCTGCCTATGCCACGGCCTGAACCAAGACTAAACCATAACTAAGCCAGGACTAACCTAGGACTGATTCCAGGACTGAAACAGGAGGACTAAACCAGGACTGAACTAAAACAGGACTAAAACAGGAGTAAACCAGGACTAAACCGGAACTGAACCAGGACTCACGATAGGGACAGGCTCGGAGGTGACCGCAGGAGAAAGGACTGACGGAGAGTGTCGCACTTCGTGGTTGACCGATCGCGCTGCACTTCAGAATCACATTGCTAGAGATTGAACATTTATGTAAATTTGGCAGCTGAACGCATTCTGTACTGTACAGGAGACATGGCACGGAGGAGATTGATTGACAATGGTGTGATAGAAATTTAGATTGTGGAAAGATTTCTTTCAATCTATCTTTGTGTAAATGAATGTGATTTCTACCTGAAACCCAGACCAGTCATTAACATGTGTAAAGGTTCATCAGGCACAACTGTCTCCGCCTTCAGGAAGCCCTTTGTTGTCCTCAACTGTATGTTAATTTAGTACCACCCTCTGAAACCAAAGTCACTCTGCTTTGATATGTATGCAACTTGTATTTCTGCATAAATACTCAGAGCTCAAATGCTCTGGGTAGAGACATGAGACATGGGGGCAGACATGGGAGACATGTGAGATACTGTTGGGGGTGAGAGGCTGTTGGGCTTTGGCCGGAACAGGCCTAGGCCCTGTCCATATCTGCTGTAACAAGAATAAATCTTGGTCTATATTCCAAAAACTCATCAGGCTTCGCAAATCGATTAATTATTTATCTTCAAGAGATATATAATTTTTTCCATGACAATGGTCCACAGCCAATCAGGACGTGGGGGAGGAACAAAATACGTACTCATACGCTGTGGAAAAAATTGCACAAAAAAAAATCTGCGAGACCCTGAATGGTGAACCATGATATAGTGAGGGACGACTGTAATATATAGTCAAACATAAACTAAAATAAAAGCTCTGTTCTGTTCAAGCAGTGCCTCTGAAAAACCCATCAGCAGCAGCGTGCGACCACTGTAGATTTGCTCCACTGACTGTATAAATGGACATAGCCACAGCATACCAAAAGTGAGCATGAGCTTAAAGTGGTTCCTTCCAGCTTTGGTTGACTTCCATTGACAAATCTTTCCCCTCTCTCTGTAACTGCTGCAGACTATTCATTTTGGCCTTAAAATGTTCCTATCAACCTATTTCAGTTGGAACCTTGCGTTTTTATTTCACAGTTTATTTTGTCTCTAAATTAAGAAATGCAAATTAATTTCCCCTAACAGTCCATTTATAATCAGTTCTATTTGTTTTAATTGCACTCTGTTTTTATTTGTATTTTATAATGTTTCTGCATTTTATCTTTTTTATTAATATGAATATTTTTAAGCAAATCTCTGTGAAAGTGTGGCTATGAATAAATACTTACTTTTAATCTCACTGCAAATACTACTTGTTTTCGGGACCACATTAGCTTCTAGCCAGATTAAAATTTTTCCATTGAAGTTTTCGGCAGTGAGGCAGTGATTTTCTTTCTCAACAAATATTGATTTATCTTTATTTGCTTTTACCGTCACAAAGCTTCTGTGTTTAATGATGCACTAACGCTCACGCTCTACAAATCAGAATTAGTCCTCTGTGTCAAAATTTGTCTTTCAATTAGGCTGATTTTCTCAATATTTTCTGTAAAGTCCTTGGTGATTTTGTCTCTTTTTCTTGGGACTGTGATGAAGTTTTGGCGGAATGTTGGATGTTGAAGAAACGACAATTCTCATGGGAAATTAGAGCTTTGGATACTTCACTGAACACAGGCCAGAATGAACTGAGACAAGCAGTGCACATTGAACACACACATTTATGATTTAACTCTCCTCATGATTAGATGACATAACTTCATTCTTAGATCAACTAGTATTGCATTGATATAATAAAATGTCTGCCCAGGATCTTAGTACTTGGTATTTAATCTTTTCCCTCTTTCAGTTTATAATAAAAGAATAATGGATCAGATTTATATAGTACATTTTTGGACACTCAAAGACTTTTTACGGTGCATTATTCATTCACTCCACACCCAGTCATGGTAATCTTTTACTGTAGCCACAATGGAAGACACTGACAAAAGTGAGGCTGCCAATCTGCGCCATCAGTCCCTCCGATCACCACCAATCACGCACACACACCACTGTCATATTAGGCAATGTGGGTGAAGAACCTTGCTTAAGGACACAACAACAGTTTTTTGTCACTGGTCCCCCTTTTAAAAAAAAGCTACTATACACACAAATTGAGGTAAAAGAGAAACTGTGACCTGCTGTATGAGTTTGTTACATACATTTTGGCATATTGCTATCATCTAATATGTGCTTTCCAAATGGTTAAGTGAATGAATTAATGTATTAAATAATGTATTCATGGATTTGTTTATATTATTCTGAGCATGGGAATATACAATAAGACTTTGGGTACCATCAGATAGACTATATGGAACACTTTCAAAGCGGGGGTAATTAAAATAGTCCCCATCATTTGACCTTATTGTGTGTCTTGTCCTCAGATCATGTTGCTGACCGACCCGGAGGTGGAGAGCAGTTTGCTTATCAGCTCAGACGAAGGAGCCACGTACCAGAAATACAGACTGAGCTTCTACATCCTGAGTCTGCTCTTCCACCCCGAGCAGGAGGACTGGATCCTGGCCTACAGCCACGACCAGAAGGTCAGTGAGCAGTGGGTTTAGTCCAGGTTTAGTCAGGACTTTGGCAGGTTTTTACTCCTTCAAACACCTCAAAAGAATAGAGTGAAAGTCCAGATAAGCAACAACTGGGAGCTGGTGCAATGCCTCAAAGCAAAGAAAGAGACAGATCCAGTTACACAAGACTGGAGCTGAGTTCAGAGCAGGTGCAGAGGGGAGCTGGGGTTATGTAATGCAGGGGCTGTTGAGGTTAGAGATATGGCTTTAACAAATATTACATGGCAAAGATGAAAACTGGAAATCTGAGCGAAATATGTGGGCTTAGTAAAGATAGATATTTGCACTTGTTAGCGTATTGGCTATCAGTTTTAAATCTCCAGCACAGGCAGATACGATGTTTTGACTTGCAGCCTAAAGAATAATAAAGCTGTATTTGAACACTTAAAGGTGCACTTTAACTTTTCTTGTTGCGTCAAATGCTTTTCCTCATGGATATGTTAGCGCAATCGGAGATGGCAACCTGGTCCCCCATGAGGCATCGGTGGGAACACGGAAGCAGCTTATGAGGAGCCCAGCCCATATTACATGAACGTTATATACACAATGCAATGTGTGTAGCTGTACAGTGCCCATGAACATTTGTGGGATACTGGTCACACATGAGAATGTCTGTGTTTACTTTTGAGATCAGTCCTGTTGCTCTAGCTCGATCCTTTGCGTAGTTCTGAACAAAAATGCATATTTGACCTTGGTTACCTTGACCTTCAAGTGACCTTGATGGGTTTCAACCTGTAACATCCAGTGTACCCCGGTTATGTGTGTGTGTCAACTTGTATGATGATTGGATAAATATTTTAGCCCACAGAAAATCAGAAAATGCCAAAATTGCCTATCCTTTATAATGGCGTGACCTTTTAATCTTTGTAATGTTTCATATTACAAAGATTTCACAGGTATTTTTCAGCTATAAAACCACCTGCAATTGAATAAATGTAAGGTAGAGCTGTTTAATGACATTTCAGGCAGAGCAGTGACATATTCAAAGAAACAAGCAGGTGACGGACCCTTAACCAAAAAGTTACATAGTGCATCTTTAAGTGCAAAGAGATAACTGAACAAACCATGACTACACAGCTCTTTATGGTGAAACAAGACTGTGGATACATTTGCAGTAAATGTATATTACAGAATTACAGAAAAAAAAAATTATCGGCCCAAAAATATCAACAAATATTGATCATCAGTTTCTTTGGATTCGGTATCAGCATAGGTCAGCCATGTCCAATCTATGGCCCGTGGACCAAATGCGGCCCAAAATTTTCTTGGCCCTCAGGCTTCCAGGTGAATTGGCCCAAATTACCTTGCATCAATTAAAAATGAACTTTTTACTGTGAGTTTTTTTTTTTTTTTATCTACCTTGATAAAGGTAATATTTAATATTTAGTGTGTGGTTTTAAGGATCTAAGCATGAATAAAGTCTAATGGGTCATTCTAAGGTGTTAAACATTATTCACTGTACTGAGCACCAGTCTACAGCCCTCAATCAGCCCTCTGCTTCGTCTGTGTTTAGATATGTGACCCTTGATGAAAAAAGTTTGGACACCTCTGACATAGGCCATGTAAAAACCTGCTCGATCTCTAGTCATTTTTGGGAACTTGTGTAATTATAATACATTATAATTCCCTAAACCTACCAGCCGTCTCTGCTTAAACTTTGCCATACAAAACAGAAAATTGCCCCTCATTTCAAATATAAATCCACACAAATTCTACAACTGAATTATTATTATCTGGGGATTTGCAAAAACACTGACACTGAACGAAATGTGAAATTGCAACAACTCAAACCAAATCTAACATCCATCTCTCCATTTTCTCCCTAAAACTGGCAATAACACCTCAACAGTGAAATAAAAAAGATGTATTACTTTGACATATAAAAGCTGTGAGTGGAGCTGGAGGTCGATGTGTGCAAACAGGTAAACAAATTGATTAGCAACATGTAGTCGACGTACTAAATGTGGTTTTGGTTCTATAAATAAATGAAACTCAGTCCAAAAGGTGTGAGTTGAAGAAAAGCCGGTAGATATGGATTACAGAGGAGCAGTGGACCATAAGCACCCTCCCCCTTCATGTGAGATTTTGACCGAAGTGTATTGAGTTTTGAAGCATTCATTTTAACATCAACCAAAAACATGTCCTGGCAGAAAGTACCTGAATATAAAAGCATAAATAGTGCTGATGGTTCTATATCGCATATTGGATCGCACAAGTAAAGCATTTATTCAGAGTTTTAATATAATATTTTAAACCCAGAGACCTGATTGTAGTGCTGTGCACGATCAATCTCAATCTTGGAGCTGTTACGGTTCCTTCTTACAATATCTGATTTCCCATGGTGAAGGGAATTTTGTATGTTTTGCTGTTTTTTTTTTTTTATGAGCATAAAAAATAGAAAATTCGTTTTAATACATTTTAAAAGAAGAAAAAGACTTCTAGGCTTCTAATGTTGTTTTTAAATCCCATGGGATCTTCTGACCTACGTTATAATGTTGTGTTCTCATCACAAACAGACCTGGAGTTGTATTTTGTTTTATTCACACGTTTAAGACACAAATCCTGTATATGTAGCCTGAGTTCTTCTCTTAAACAGAAACAGTCTGTTCCACTTTGTGATGTCATGTGGTAATACAGGAAGTGCTCCACTGTGTTTTTAAACTCCATACACCTTCGCCTTCAATCATTTGGAGAATAGCAGCCCTGGTATTGCCAGTCTGCTGAACAAAAGCTAAAAATTTGCTCTTAACTTGAAAACTAAAACTACATGACATCACAAGGTGGAACATTTTTAGTTTTGGAGATGTAGACAGACAATTCCAGGTTTGGTTTTGAGGAGGTAACACATTCTAACATTGCTTAAAGCTCACAAGTCGGTTTTCAGTAATACAGGATTTTTTTAGGTGCACTAACATTTCTGAAGGAGGCTCCACTACCACATAATACCACACTGTGCGACATTCATTTCAAAGCAATATCAACTCTAGATACTAGAGACAAGTTTATAGTGCTGGGTACAATTATATTTCCTTGTTCTTTTGGGTGAATTTTTATACAGTTTACCAGAGTAGTTCTTCACAACACACATTTTTTATCTTTTGCTCAGGCTAAATATTAATTTAAATTAGATTTTATGTATCTGTGCATAATTTTACAGCAGTGCATTTTCATACAAAAAAACTAAACATTGTAATAGAAATAATGAGCCCCAAACCCTAATAGTTAGATGTATATTTGATAATCACAAATAAATGATCAAATACACTTCCCACTTCTTTTTAATATTTTCATGGCCAATTAGCAATGAGTTTGTTGAGTACTTGCATTTCATTCGCTTTATTTCAAATAGTTCCTTTGGTTGAGGACAAATCCTGAATATTTTACCTCTAATTGCCCTGCTGTAGGTAAAGTATTCTCCAAATTGGGGTTTCTTTTTCCGAAGTGCAGGCGAGGGAGGTGGAGAGATGAGTGGGTGGATGCCTGTAGAAGACTAGCTAGGGAAGTTAACCCAGGACAAACTATTTTATGCAAGTACCTCATTCAGTTCTATTAGAATTACATTTTAGCAAGAACCACCGAAGTTGCTCTGACAAGTGGAATATTTTTGCAGTTAAAAGCAGGCCAGGGTTCAAGAGTTATCTTGGAAGGTGAATATATCAAGTGGACAACTCAAACTATGAGAGTTACATATTTAAGGGTGGTTAAAAGTTAAAATAGAGCTATTCGTATGTGCGATAAAGGAGAAAAATGTGCTACAATTTTGATGTACTGCAACTGCACTTTAAATGTTCTGTCAAAGAGCTGATAAAAAGATCTGAACATGGTGAAAATTGTGCACTATGATCTTACCAAATCAGATTTAACCAGATGTACATGCGTGTAAAAGGTTAAAATCATGAAGCATAAAAGTATATCCCTGCAGGTCAGTCAGAGACATCAACTTGGCAAAGGAAAGTGTGATTACGAAGTACATTTTATAGGGACAATCTGTCAAGGCGCTGGTAGTGGTGAAGAGAAGATTGATAGCCTGTGGAGACTTATATCTGTACTGCTGAGGTAGAGTCAGGGCCACTCCCCCTTCAGAGCACTATCACAACACAATCAGCGTGTATCCCGCTAATGGAACCACTGCACATTGTTTCAAGGTTGTGAAGTTGTAGTGTATTGTTTCTTATTGAATCTGTGGACAGAATTTTACAGCTAAACCTTGAGGACGGAAAGATTGGAGGATCACTCAAACATGCATGTATGAAATATTAAATCTCTATCAGTTATAACATAGACAAATCCAAAAAGCTGATTTTACACTACAACCCCTTTTTGGTTATTATGATTAACTGATCCAGTATTGGTTGGTATATTGATATGCTATTACCGTATTTTTCTGACAGTAAGTTGCACTTTTTTTCATGGTTTGGGTGGTCCTGCGACTTATACTCCAGTGTGACTTATATATTAAAATGTTCACAGTAACAGCCACGAGAGGGCGCTCTAGGCTTGTGCGTCAGTATCTGCTACTCCTATTACTCCTGTACCACTGTCACTTCACCCTCTACTGCACATGTCTCCTGCAGAAAAAGCCTCTGTTCTGCTGGAAGTAGTGAAATATGCAGCCAAAAATTGGTAATCAAGCAGCAGAAAGAAAGTTTGGAGTGAGTGAGAAACTTGTGAGGGACTGGCGGAAAGCGGGGATGGAGAACACAGCTTCATGGTAATCGGGAGGGTGCGCCATGCAACTTTCCTGGAAGTCATTGGATGAATCGACAAAGCGTGGACTCCAGTGACAACTGAATCCATCTTGTCGGGATTCAGAAAGGCCGGAATAATTCTAACTGAAAATGATGCTGAGTCTGACGACAGCTTCACAGAAGAGGAAGTGGCGCTCCGTGTTCCTTATGGTTTACCTCTGGAGGTCACGCAGAAGTGACACCAAGGATGAAGAATTCAATGGATTTAGTCATTTGGAG